GGGAGGATGGCTTGAGGCCAAGAGTTCAAGACCAGTCTAGGCAACATAGCAAGACTCCATCTCTACAAAAAAAGAAAAAATTAAAAAATTAGCCAAGTGTGGTAGCACACATCTGTACTTCCAGCTACACAGAAGGCTGAGGTGGGAGGATCGCTTGAGCACAGGAGTTTGAGGATGCAGTGAGCTCTGATAGTGCCAATGCACTCTAGCCTGTGTGTCGCCAGAGAGAGACACTATCTCTTTAAAAAGAGAAAGCTATTAGCTGGAATATATAACAATCTCATATCCAACCATTTGTAAGAGGTCTAATAGATTTTAAAAATCAATGATCATAAATATTATAGATAATCAGATTGTCTATAAATAAGTTGAATCTCTCAGCCTTCCTCAAACCCACTCAGCCACTTAGCACTCACTTCTGATACAAAAATTACCCTTGGCCTCAATCAAGAAAAAAAGAAAAATGGCCGGGTGCGGTGGCTCACGCCTGTAATCCCAGCACTTTGGGAGGCCGAGGCGGGTGGATCACGAGGTCAAGAGATCGAGACCATCCTGGTCAACACGGTGAAACCCCGTCTCTATTAAAACTACAAAAAATTAGCTGGGCATGGTGGCACGTGCCTGTAATCCCAGCTACTCAGGAGGCTGAGGCAGGAGAATTGCCTGAACCCAGGAGGCGGAGGTTGCGGTGAGCCGAGATCGCGCCACTGCACTCCAGCCTGGGTAACAAGAGCGAAACTCCGCCTCAGAAAAAAAAAAAAAAAGAAAAAAAGAAAAATGCCCTTAATATATGTATCCCAGAAAATAGGGGCCTCTCAAGGGCCTGGAGTGTGTTCCAGTACACCCCCCACCTTCCATTTCATGAGGATATTAAGCTCTCTGCTGCACCCTCCATCTGGCCTCATTTATCTACACAGGAATTTCCTCAGTGTTAAGAACATAAACGCTGCAGTCATTCCCAAGATATTTGTGAAATTTGAAAGAAAAATCCAGTATTTAAACAGCAGGGCTAACAAGCTACTGGATTTTAATAACTCAAAAACTTCCTGTTGCCATAGTTGTTACTTTGCAGTCAAGAAGCTGTAGTATCTTAAAAAAAAAAAAAAAAAAAAAAAAGATCAAGGTTTAGCAAAAATCTAAGGGAAAAATGTAAGACAGAAGAAAAATAAAGACAAATTCTTCTCCTATAAAATGTAGGAGAAATACTACCTTGTGATGTGTCATGGAAAACTGCCAGGAATTTTATTTTTTAGGTAATTGATTTTTTTTTTTTTTTTAGGCAGAGTCTGGCTCTGTCACCCAGGCTGGAGTGCAGTGGTGCAATCTCAGCTCACTACAACCTCTCCCTCTCTGGTTCAAGTGATTCTCCTGCCTCCGCCTCCCAGGTATCTGGGACTATGGGTGTGTGCCACTATATCCAGCTAATTTTTGTATTTTTAATAATGACGGGGTTTCATGATGTTGGCCAGGCTGGTCTCGAACTCCTGGCCTCAAGTGATCCACCTGCCTCAGCCGCCCAAAGTACTGGGATTACAGGCACGAGCCACCGCACCCGGCCCTGCCAGGAATTTTTAAATATACACTTTCAAAACTATTAATTCAGAATTCATAGGTGAGGTCATACATTCCAGTATCTTCTAAATCAGTGTTTCACAGGATGTTGAAGATGATCCCAGCATATCAATTACTTGATGTTCTTAAAACAGTTTTAAATGGTTGTTTCAGAAAATTACAAAAGTCTCGTATTTTTCATTTTTTTCAGTTTTAGAGACAGGATCTTACCCTGCCACCCAGACTGGAGTGGAGAGACCATAGCTCACTGTAGCCTTGACCTCTCAGACTCAAGCAATCTTCTCCCATCAGCCTCCTATGTAGCCGGGACTACAGGAGCGTGCCACCATGCATGGCTCAAGTTTTTAATTTTATTGATCGATTGATTGAGGTGGGCTCTCACTCTGTTACCCAGGCTGGAATGCAATGGCACGATCTTGGCTCACTGCAATGTCTGCCTCCTGGGCTCAAGCGATTCTCCTGCCTCAGCCTCCTGAGTAGCTGGGCCTACAGGTGCCTGCCACTACACCTGGCTATTTTTTGTAATTTTTGTTGAGATGGGGTTTCACCATGTTGGCCAGGCTGGTCTTGAACTCATGACTTCAAGTGAATCCACCTGCCTCAGCCTCCCAAAGAGCTGGGATTACAGGCATGAGCCACCTTGCCTAGCCTCAAGTTTTCAATTTTAAAAGAAGTAAATGGTGTAAGCATTTGAGAAGCATGCTTTAGGAGAAAGTTTAAAAACATGAATGTACACTGTCTAATAACTCCAAGAAGATGAATTAGAGCTTCAGGTTCCTACCCTACCTGGGCACAGCAGCAGGATCCCACCTTGAGCAACCAGCAATTACACATCCAGGTTTGATGGTGGGGAGTGGGAGAATGTGCTTACCAAATTTTTAACAAATTAATTGTACTGGGAAAAAATTATTTGTAAAATAATTATCTGTAAAAAAATTAATTGTCGTAACTGCTTCTGTTGTTAATTCCTAGTACACATCATAAATAGTAATTTTGAAAACAAAAATGTTGGCCATGTCTATTCAGAATGCCCCTCTAACTTAATGCTGGATGAACCTAACAAAAAAAGGAAAGCAATGGGTTTTCTGATGAAATACTCAGAATCACTTTTAGTTCTTGTTTCCTTTTTAATTATAATCTATTTACTCATTTAACTGAATATTTATTAGTTGTATACCATAAGATGACCATATCAGCAGCCATATCTTGTCCCCATAAGAAAAATATTCAGCCAGGCACGGTGGTACGTGCCTGTAGTCCCAGCTACTCAGGCTGAGGCTGGAGGATCGCTTGAGCCCGGGAGTTCTGGGCTATAGTGCGTTATGCCGATCAGGTGTCCACACTAAGTTCGGCATCAATATGGTGACCTCCCGGGATCAGGGAACCACCAGGTTGCCTAAGGCGGGGTGAACCGGCCCAGATCAGAAACGGAGCAGGTCAAAACTCCTGTGCTGATCAGTAGTGGGATCGCACCTGTGAATAGCCACTGAACTCCAGCCTGGGCAACACAGCAGGACTCTGTCTCTTAAAAAAAAAAAAAAAAATTCAAGTGCAAGATTTTGCAAATGACAGCTCACAGCCCCAATTTAGCCCATTGCCTGTTTTTCCACAGCCTGCAAGCTACGAATAGTTTCTACACTTGTAAATAGCTGAAAAAATCCAAAGACTATTTCATGACACATCAGCATTATATGAAATTCAGAATTCAGCATCCATAAATAATTATTGGAACACAGTCACACCCATTCACTTACATATTATCTATTGCTGCTTTCACACTGCAACAGCCAAGTTGCGACTGGACCACAAAGCTTCCAACATGGGCGGTGGCTCACGCCTGTTATCCCAGCACTTTAGGAGGCTGAGGCAAGCAGATCACTTGAGGTCAGGAGTTTGAGACCAGCCTGGCCAACATTGGAACCCTGCCTTTACCAAAATTAGCTGGGCATGGTGGTGCGAACCCGTAACCCCAGCTACTCAGGAGGCTGAGGCTCAAGAATCCCTTGAACCAGGAGGCGGAGGTTGCAGTGAACCAAGATTGCACCACTGCACTCCAACCTGGGCCACAGAGTAAGACCCTGTCTCAAAAAAAAAAAAAAAAAAAAAAAAGCCTAAAACATTTATTTATTTATTTTCTGGCCCTTTCCAGAAATCATGGGCTGGCTGACCCTGGCTGGGGTACGAAGCCACAAAGGCAGAAGTGTAGACGAGGGTGAGTTCTGAATGCTGCCTTGGTAGACTGGCATTTTTAGAGGATCCCTTAGTGCTTTGACAAGAAGCAATTTGGCTGTGGGTTGTGTTTTACAGTAGAGCTAAGTTGCTTATCTGGAAACAGTGATGTCTGATATAGAGAAAGACCTATGTTATCATTATTTCAGAAATCACAAGTGCTTCTTGCTGATTGATTTATTTTCTCCCCACCTCCCAAAGGAATTTGACCAGTTTGATTACATTTCATTTATGTCAAGTGTACAAAACGTGTTGTAAGAGCTGCTGTGTCAGAGACAGTAAACCAACCCTTTTAGTCACTTTTCTTGCTTGAGTAGGAAGTCACCACTTGCCAATGAGAAATTTAAAACAAATACCACAAAGTTTTGAGTTAGTCCAATACATGAAATAGTGTAGATCTTGGGAGTTTGTAATCTTGGCAACTCCAATTTGCTGTCCCTGGTGAGAACACTTGTGTACTACTGTTGCTTACTTTCTGGTTCACTAAGAGGGTTGCACCTTGCCCTCTTAATCCTAGAGTCAAATCTGATTACAAACATTTTCCTCTCGGGAAACTGGCTTGTAAGGAAGTTCACTGTGCTTTCTCTTAAATAAAACAGCTCCATTTAGTTGCCTTCTTCGTTCTCAGACTTACTGTATCTCATCGGCCTAAAGACTGTGTTTGACATCAGCAATTGTTAGAGACCATTTGTTTTTACAATAAAAAGAAATAAAAGGGCAGATGTCAGATCTCAAAATCCATACTTTTTGGAGCTATTTTCATTCTCGAAAGTAGGAATGTGCTGGGTTTTTTTGTGTGTGGAGAGGGGACAGGTGAATGAATACAAACATAGACATATCACTGTGACTAAGTCAAACATTTCATATGTTTTCTTTTTCCATTTCAAAATTAGAGAAAACTTGAGAACAGAAAATATTAAGTGAATTATGGGAAAGTGAAAACTCTAGGACACATTCCAGTTTGGTTAAAAGAAGAATAGCTCATGTGTGGGAAGTAGAAAACTTCCTTCTTAAAGTTTCCTTTCTTGTTAAAGAGTAAGTGTGCTAATAACTTTGTTAAGCCCTATCCTATGTAGCTGTTAGACATGCCATGCTTACAGGCACATAGTACATTCTACATCCTTGTACTTTAACCAAGAAATCTGTGCTGGATGTGCTCAGAAGCATGTCCCAGCCCTCTATTGCTTTTACCTGTTTAGAAAAGTTTTAAGTTATTAGCCAATCGGGTTTAATTATGAGGTCTGGCTCCAGCCAACAGAGATCAGACACAGCAGTAGGGATGACCCCAGATTCGTAAGAAATAAATTTGTGTGTTTTCCTTTGTTCATTGTACTCTCGTGGCATGATAGCTAGCAAGGATACCCATCCTGCAGTCCAAGAAGTAAAAATTATGTTGCAGAAAAATCCTTTGTCTCAGTGCTGATTTTTCTTTGTGGCACCAAGCATCTATTTCCAACATCGATTTCCAACATCATATCAAATCAAAAAAATAGTAATGATGGAAATTTCACCTTCATTATCAGAAAAGTAGTATGGTTAAAGACAGGCAGTCTTAGCACTTTTGGAGTCTGCTTAAATACAAGTTTCTACTACCAGACCTCATGGCTGAATGTTAACAGAGTTGGACCCTAGCAGCAACCAACTTTACAAACGTGGGGATCTCCTCCTTTAACTGTGCAGAAGAAGCCAAGCCCTCATGATGTAACTAGGTAAGTGACAGGAGCCAGGAGGGCTAGCTGCTCACCAGAGAAGGTTGAGACCAAGTTCACAAGTGCCCAGAGAGTATGAGAAACTGGGTAACTTTCATGAAATGAGACAAAGTACAAAGCCCTCTACATCTCACTCAACACAGGTGGGCCCCAGCTTCCCAGGGCAGGGCGTGGGAGGCCCATGGGAGCAAATGCCATTTCCTACCTGTTCTTGGCTGTAAAGAAGCCTGCAGCCCACACCAGGGGCCAATTAAAGGGAATTGTGCTTGCTTCAGAGTCCCAGGAAGGCATCAAGTGGAGTCAAATCCCTGGCGGTGATCCCAATTAAAAGGGAGCACTTTATATCAGGAGGACAATTAAGCAGATGGAGCCCTGTGATCCCGCTGTCACATTGATCTTTCTAGAGGTGGCTGGGTGCTTGAGAGGCTCTGCCTGCTTCCCTGAAGGGAGCTTCTCCTACCCAGGCCTAGATGGGGAGAGAGAATTATGGCTCTTCTTCCTACTAGACAGCTTTTGAAAAATAGTATTTTTAGTTTAAAAGTTTTTTAAAATATTTCTAGAGACAGGGTCTTGCTCTGTCATCCAGGCTGGAATACAGAGGTGCAGTCATGGCTGACTGCAGCCTCGAACTCCTGGGCTCAAGGGATCCTCCCGCCTCAGCCCTCCGAGTAGCTGGGACTATGGGCACACATTTTTCTCTTTTAATTTAATTGACTCAGTCTTGCCATTTTGCCCAGGTTGATACTGAACACCTGCCCTCAAGCTATCCTCCTGCCTTGGCCTCTCATGTGGCATGGTAAAAAGCCCCATAAAACTGCATACCTCAACCATACCTTGGCTTTCTGTTTAAACTGCTCCCTCTACTGGTTGGATTAGGCATTGCTAACTCCACTGCAGTTGGAATATCAGCTCTTATAACTGGGGACCAAAATTTTACAACTCTCTCTCAGCACACAGATACTGACCTAAGCCACTTGAAAAACTCCATTTCCCAACTCACTAATCAGGTTGAGTCTTTGGCTGAAATAGTCCTCTAAAACAGGCGAGGACTAGATTTACTGTTCTTAAAACAAGGGGGGTTATGTGCCGTCCTTAATGAACAATGTTGCTTCTATGCTAATAGGTCAGGTCTTATCTGAGAGAGCCTCTCCCTGGTCAAACAAACTCTCAAAACCAGAAAACAACTTCGAGAGGCTTCAGAAAGTTAGTATCAAAAAATGTTCTCCTGGTCCCCTTGGCTCACTTCCCTCCTCACGGGCCTGGTGGGACCTCTGGCCCTACTCTTACTGGGTCTCATGATCGGCCCCTGCCTCCTAAACCAACTGCTCAGGTTCATAAAATCTAAGATAAACTCCAGAAAATTAATGATATTAAGATCTCAGTATGAGTCCTTAGAACAAACAGTACTAACCTGTTAGAGGAATCAATGATTTAATTCCCATAAATAAAGCAAGGGGGGAATGTGACATGGTAAAAAGCCCCATAAAACTGCATACCTCAACCATACCTTGGCTTTCTGCTTAAACTGCTCTCTATAACCCAAATGTGAATGAGCAATTAAGAACTATAATCGCCACCTTACCCAGACAATGTGTAAACAAATGCTAATCTTGACTTTTGTGAATCACTTAAGTAACAACCAGAATGTCAAAAAGGGCCCCTGGCCCTCGGAATGTCCGGAGCCCCTCACCCCATCTTCACCCAGGAATCCACCAGAATGTCCAGAGCCCCTCATCCCATCTTCGCCCAGGAATCCACCAGAATGTCCGGAGCCCCTCACCCCATCTTTGCCCAGGAATCCACTGGAATGTCTGGAACCCCCTCACTGCCAACCCCCGACCCTCTCCCTCACGCCCAAGGTGATTTTTACTGGTATAAAGGGGTCTTGACACCCTCCTTTGAGGGCCACGGGTTGGAGAGACGCGAGTCCTCCGTGGCCGCTGGCAATAAAGACCCTGTAATTTGGCATACTTTTGTCTTAGTATTGACTTTCTGTGCTCGGTCCTGTACAACACTCAAAGTGCTGAATAATTAAAGGCTTGAGCCGAGGCACCTGGCCAACGGTTTTTCTTTTTTTTTGAAATGAAGTCTCACTTGTTGCCCAGGCTGGAGTGCCGTGGCACGATCTCGGCTCACTGCAACATTTGCCTCCTGGGCTCAAGCGATTCTCCTGCCTCAGCCTCCCCAGTAGCTGTGATTACATGTGCGTGTCACCATGCTGGGCTAATTTTTGTATTTTTAGTTGAAACGGGGTTTTGCCATGTTGGCCAGGCTGATCTCGAACTATCTCGAACTAAAGTGTTCTCTGAAAGATCACGATGTATAACACAGCTTCTTTAATAGACGAAATAACCCCAAATGTTAGCTTTTTCAGTTATTCTGACACAATTAAAAAGAGGAGGAGGCCAGGTGTGGTGGCTCAGGCCTGTAATCCCAGCACTTTGGGAGGCCAAGGCAGGGGGATCATGAGGTCAGGGATCGAGACCATCCTGGCCAACAAGGTGAAACTCCGTCTCTACTAAAAATACAAAAATTAGCTACGCATGGTGGCATATGCCTGTAGTCCTAGCTACTCAGGAGGCTGAGGCAGAAGAATCGCTAGAACCAGGGAGTCAGAGGCTGCAGAGAGCCAAGATCACGCCCTTACACTCCAGCCCGGGGGAAAAAGCGAGACTCCACCTAAAAAAAGAAAAAAAGAGGAGGAATGTCTGCAGAGCCAGGTGGCATGCTGCGGCTGTGGCTCACTTGTCGGGGTACACTTAAGGAGCCCACCACAGTGTCAAGTAAGTACTTTGATCAGACAGAACACAGGGTGGTGAGCATAGAGCTAGCAAGCCTCCAAAGACATTAGCTAGGTGGCAAGCCTCTGTCCCTCAGGGCCAATGGAGCTGGGGACCGTGCCTAGGGCACAGAAAGAATCCATACATGCTCTGGTGCTGTGATCCTCATTTCTAAGAACAGGAAACCTGAGTACAGAGGTTAACTTCACTCAGGACCCACAGCTTCCAGGCAGCGGTGCTTGCAATCAATATTTTAAAAGTAGATTTTTTTTTTTTCCTTCTCACATATTTGGTGGAATCCATTTCCAGAGCAATCAGATTTTACCAGATCACAATGGCCAAACACAATAAGGGGCTCTGGCAGGGAGGGGTGATTACTAAAGAGGGAGAAATAAGATCTAAAACAGTTTGTAGGGTGGCCCGTACTACCCAGGACGGGACCCTTTTGAGCACATTCTAGGGTTCCGTCCCAGACATCCCTCCATCCCAGGCAAACCGGGACAGCTGGTAGCCAAACCTCACCTTTGAACCACCCCGAACAACAGAATGATCCAGACCCAAAGGTCCAGAAAGCCCCTACTGGCGCTCCGACCCGCTGTCCTGAGCCTGCTCGTTCTGCTGTCAAGGGGCATTGCCTTCCCACCCTCCTTCCCGAGATCCTTGGCCTTTCAGGGCCCAGAAGGCTACGGAAGCCCGGCGGCCGGGAGGGGCTGCGCTCCTGCCCCATAGTGCCCCGAGGCCAGCACGTGGAGGAGACGCCCGAGCTCCCAGCGCGCAGGTCCCGGGCCGCTCCGCCGCCGCCCGACCTAGGAGGTACAGCGCCGCTCCCACTTTCCCTGCATGGATTCCCAGTCCAGCTGCGTGGTGGTGACTGGTAAGACTTATATATATATTTTTTCTCTTCTATTTGTTGTTGAAAAAACGCTCGCTTTGAATGAAAAGACCTTCTAAACAGGCTTTGTGTGAGCAACATGGCTGTTTACTCACCTGGGTGCAGGTGGGCTAAGGCCGAAAAGGGCATTAGCAAAGGGCAGTGGGACAGGAGTTGGTTTTACAGGTTTGGGTAGTTTTTTGAGGGGGCGGGGTGTTGCAGAGTAAGTTCAGTTACAGTGTTGGTGGGTAGGGGCAAGGAGTATGTATTACCACAAGTTCAGTTACAATGGCAGGGTTGGGTGAGAGGTATTTACAATATAAGAACAGTTAAGATGGCAGGGTTGGGTGACGGGCTTGTCCGGGGAAGCTCCGCTGGGGGATCAGGGACAATGGCAAAGCAGGATGGGGTAGGACACATCAGCCGAGGCAAGCAGGACTTCAGACTTTCAGGCTCCAGGCTTGCATACGGAGACCTGACAGACCTGTCTTTTTATATACATAGAGAAAGAATTAGGGAAGAGGGGGTGATAACAGGTTTTAGGGGGTGGGGGCAAAGTTTCTCAAGGCTTCTTTGAGCAGGATTGGGGGCGAGGTGGAAACTTTAAAATGGGAAAGAAATTAGACTGCTGGGAGATTTGGGGGAAGAGGGTAATATTGTGGGGTTGTTAGGAGTATTTGTCGTATATTGACTGATTGGTTATTGCTGGTATATGATTTTGTAGGAATTGAGAGATTAATTAGAAAAACACAGTGTTTAAATAAGAGAAGGAGAAAGATAGTATTAGAGGACTAAGGACTGGAAGAAGCCATGACTCCCAGTTAGACAGTGTCCAGCCAGGTCCAGAATAACCATTTGTCCGATTAGTGGGCTTTTGGGCTCTGTCTCTTAATTTATAGATGGCTTTATATACCAGGCCAGGCTGGTTTACATAAAACAACGTTTTTTGGAGCTTTGGACCTCAATGTCAAAGGAACCAGCAAGGGCTGCTGCTGTTGAAGGTTGTATCGGGGTTGGTGGGATCACTGTGTGGAGGGAGAGCTTTTGTTTTCATGGTATATGAGGAAGCGTGTATTTATAAGCAACCGTTCACTTTTATTAACAAGATTGGGTATCAGCAGAGAACGGCAGCCAGATAAAGAGTGAAATCTTAGCTCTAATTGCCTGGAGGAAAAGTGTAAACCCGCAACTTAAAAGCGGGGCATGTAAAAGTAAATGAGTACAGTGAATTTGAGCACAGTTAGGCAGGAAATAATAGAAACAGACTTTTTGAGGTGCAGTTTAAGTAGTAGGGGTGATGGCATAAAGGTGGAGAAGGCGAGGGGCTGAAAGTAAGTGTGAGGCGTAAAGAGAAAACTTTGGAGGCGGTGAGAGCTAGAGGGTAAACGGGGCACAGCCTGTGATTTGGGGCGGCAGCTGCTGCTTCGTGTTGTCATGAGGGCCAGCCCAGGACTGTTTGGTTAAGTTGTTTGGATAAAAAGGCTACAGGCCATGGGCCTGGCTCCTATGTGAGAATCCTGACCGCACAGCCCTGGATTTTAGCAGTATAGAATGAAAAAGTGTTGAGACGGGTTAGGGAGAGCTATGGAGGGAGCAGTTTTTAGAGCTGTGTTTTTTTGTTTTTTTTTTTTTGGGGGGGGCGGTTTCACCATGATGGCCAGGCTGGTCTTGAACTCCTGACCTCAGGTGATCCACCCACCTAGGCCTCCCAAAGTGCTAGGATTACAGGCTTGAGCCACAGCGCCCGGCCAGCGCTGTTTTTTAAGAAGTGAAAGGAAGAGCGAGGAAAGGATTTAGGATTAATAGCGTTGGATAAGTTTTCTTTAGTGAGTTTACACAATGGCTTAGTTAGAATAGCAACACCTGGTATCCCGAGGTGAACGTAGCAACCACACCCAGGAAGGAGAGAAGCTGTTGTTTGATCGATCGGGTTGGGGTTTGGGAAATTAACTGGATACGGTTGGCGGGGAAAGTGTCTGTATGCTGGTGAAAGATTGTAACAGATGGGGAAGAAATTTGGGCTTTGGAAGGGGATACACGATACCCCTTTGAGTACAGATGCTACAGAAGCAGCAGGGTGACTTAAAAGGCCACGTTGCAATAGAGGGTGATAACAGGCTTTACTTTTAAAGCCTATGTGGGATGGGATACTGGGGCTGGGAGGGTAAGAGTGGTGAGGTTTTAAGGGCATGAGGAGGGGTGAGTGACTTGTAGCAACGATGGGAAGGTGGTGTTTTACACCCTAGGGTTAAGGTTGGGGAACATAAGGGGAGCTATTGAGGGAGGTACAGGTTTGTGGAGGAGGGCATCAATGAGGCGTGGCTGTAGCCCAGGAATAGTCAAGGAGGCAGACAATTTCGCTAGGATATCCCGGCCTAACAGGGGAACTGGACAAGTGGGGATGATTAGGAAAGAATGTGGAGAGGAGTGTTGGCCTAATTGACACCAGATGTGGGGAGTTCTGAGCGGCCTGGAGGCCTTGCCGTCAATTCTCACCACAGTTATGGAGGCGAAGGAGACGGGTCCTTGAAAAGAAGCAGCGTGGAGTGGGTGCCTCCGAGGTGATTAAGAAAGGGATGGACTTATCCTCCACTTAAGAGTTACCCAAAGTTTGGTGTCCGTGATGGTTCAGGGGGCTTCCGAGATGCTCGGGCAGCATTAGTTTTTACCCACCAAGCCAAGCATCGGAGCTTCAGGAGCTCTGGGAGCAGTGACGTGAGTCAGACAGTTGACTTTCTGTGGGGGCCCCGCACAGATGGGACAGGGCTTAGGAGGAATCCCAAGCTGCAGGCATTTCTTGGCCCAGTAGCCAGGTTTCTGACACTTGAAGCAAGGTCCAGGAGGGGCGGCTGGACGCGCTGCAGTCTGGGTGCTTTGAAGTCTTTGTGAGCTGGTGGTGTGGCTGGGGTTTGTCTTAGGAAGAGGCAAGCATCTGTAGTTCTGAGATGCTTTTCCTATTAATGAACACCTTGAAGGTGAGGTTGCTTCATTCCTGTTGTGGGGTTTGACGACCAGATTTTAATTTCTGTACCTTTTTGCAATGTTGGGGTTGATTGGGTGATAAAATGCATTTTAAGCGTTTCTTAGGGGTGAGAGTGGAAGTAACGATGACACTATATTATTCCAGGTGAGATTATAGGACTGGGTTAAGTATTGGAGGATTTGATGAAAAGGAGCCTAACCGGTGGCCAATTTGGAAAGGTTGGATAAAGGAAAAGGAATGTGCGCCCTAACTATGCCTTTGGCTCCAGCCACCTCTGGAAGGGGGAATTGTTGAGAAGGGGCAGAGGAGGTAGCCACGGGACTAAACTGTAAGCTGGGCCATGTATGAGGTGGGGAGATGACAGGAGGGGCATAAGGAGGTGGGTTGTGGGCAGAGGAAGAGGAGGAAGGCTCTGGGGGATGGGATTAGGTTTTCCGGTTTAGGGCCTGGTTGGGCAGGTGGGGAGGAGAACGGTTGGAAGGGTTGATGGACAAGGAAGATTCTGGCTTACCAGCAGAGGAAGGAGGGGCAGACAGAAGGGAAGAGAAAGAGTGGAGATTAGGGAGGGATTAGTGTGTAAAAAATGCCTGGACGTAGGGAATTTCAGACCGTTTGCCTGTGTTTTGACAAACATTGTCTAAATTTTGTGAAACAGAGAGGTTGAAAGTGCCATTTTTTGGCCAGTTGGAGCTGTTGTTTAACTTGTATTGTGGCCATGCAGTGTTACAGAAGAAGATGAATACATTTGGGTTTTAGGTCGGGAGATAGTTGAAGAGGCTTGAGGTTCTTTAGAACACAGGCCAGTGGAGAGGAGAGAGGGATAGAGGACGGATGATTGCCCATGGTTCTGGAAAGGCAGTAGAGACAAGGAGAACAGGCACGCAACCCAGCTGCTCAACAGGTGTCCCTAGTTGAGCCTGGGATGAACCTCGTCATTGGTGAGCGGTCAAAGAGAGCGTCCTCCACGTTGACCTGCCACCAATATCCGCCGTGAGCCTGGTGGGTGAGTGACTAGGGTGAACGTCTCCATGACAACCCAGCCCCTGGGGAAACCTGGGTCCCCGGATCCGTGACCTGTGTAGGATTTTTCCGGTCGTGAACCTCATGGAAGAACTTGGTCTATGTGATTTTCCTTGTCTTTGCAGTGGAAAAAGGATGAAACCAAAAGGTGAAGGAAATGGAAAGGAAAAGACAAAAGGATGGGAAAGCAGAAAAGAAACTGCTTACTAAAATAGCCGGTGGTGTTAGTGTATGGGCTGGTCTGATGACCCCAGGTCGGTGGGTAGATCTCTTCATGGAGGGAGCACATGAACAGGGACGGGGTTTTGGTCTCCTGTAGGAGTTCCCCCGTCCCGGGTTTCCGGCACCAAATGTTGAAAAATTCGTGCTTTGAATGAAGAGACCTTCCAAACAGGCTTTGTGTGAGCAACATGGCTGTTTATTCACCTGTGTGCAGGTGGGCTAAGGCCAAAAAGGGCATTAGCAAAGGGCAGTGGGATAGGAGTTGGTTTTATAGGTTTGGGTAGTTTTGTTTTTGGAGGGTGGGGTGTTTGCAGAGTAAGTTCGGTTACAGTGGTGGGAGGTGGGGCAAGGAGTATACATGACCACAAGTTCAGTTACAATGGCAGGGTTGGGTGAGAGGTATTTACGTGATTATAAGAACAGTTAAGATGGCAGGGTTGGGTGAGGGGTTTGTCTGGAGAAGCTCCGCTGGGGGATCAGGGACAATGGCGAACGCAGGCAGCGGGTGGGAGACATCAGCGAGGCAAGCAGGACTTCAGACTTTCAAGCTCCAGGCTTGCATACGGAGACCTGACATTTGTTGCTGCTTTTAGCTTGCCCCTGGAATGCACACTGGCCTGATCCTGGGTCTTAAACAGTTCCCTGAGGGGAAAACTGAGTGGCAACCAGTGGTGCTAGTAATCCCAGATGGATATGAGCTTCCTGCCGTGCCCTATTAATAAGCAGTCACAGAACACAGGCATTTCTGCGTCTGCGGCTCATTCGCTTCAAATAACTCTAGAGTGGCATACACGAAGGTGCCACTGGTGACTTACGCCCAGATCGTGTCCTTCAACCCAGCAGGGAGGAAACTGAGGCTGGTACCTGCTTTCCCTGAGTGGGGCCCAGGGCACGTGAGGTATCCCTTGGGGGGTGCAGGCTCACAGCAAGGAAGAGGAATCTGTGGGCAGAGAAACCACAGGGCCCCCACAAGTCTTGGAAAGCCCATCTATAATGGCCACCCGCAAAGGAACACACAGTCCCCACTCCCAGAATGAGCGCTTTCATTTCTCAGGGAGCTCTGACACCCCCTGAGAGCCACTAGCTGGAGACCCTGAAACCCAGAAGGTCAACTTGGAAGGAATAATGGCTGTTCGCTCCTGCAAATACCAGAACATCCAAAATCATCCCTGGCCACATGTACCTCACCAAGACAGCATCCCAGGCGGTCCCTGGGGCCCTGGTCTTCACAAAGCTCTTTATTTTTATTTTTATATTTTTCATTTTTCTGAGATAGTCTGCCTCTGTTGTCCAGGCTGGAGTGCAGTGGCTCAGTCATAGCTCACTGCAGCCTCAAGCTCCTGGGCTCAAGTAATCCTCCCTCCTCAGCCTCTTGAATAGCTGGGACAACAGGTACTCACCACCACACCCCACTATTTATTTTATGTTTTAGTAGAAACAGGGTTTTCCTGTATTCCCCAGACTGGTCTCTAACTCCCAGGCTGAAGGGATCCTCCTGCCTTGGCCTCCCCAAATGCTGGGATTACAGGCATGAGCCATTGTGCCCAGCCTTCATTTTTAGTTAGACACATTTGGCCAGTTTTAAGTTTTCTGAATTGTGTTGGAGGAAGAGACAGGGTTTCCTGGATGAATGGAAAATCCAAAGTTGCATCACTTAATCTTTTCAGACTATAATTCAAACTCATATCGACCTAAGAAAAAGAAAGTTCTTTGGGAAACTTTTTGTCTTCCTTGCTCTTCTGTGTGTTATTTTGGTTCTGGAGATTGAATGGTTCAAATTACTCCTGAATTCCTAAGGAAACTGTACTCCTAATACATGCAGTGCTTGTCATGAATGAAATATGAATATTGAGGCACCGTCTTAGAATCACACTGACCCCTGCCTTTGCCTTGTCAGCCTGTGGTTTGCTGGCAAGGTGGAGATTGTTTGACGAAGTACCTGATAATCAGCCTCGAATTGGGAATGCCTGCTGGATTCCAGAGTGTGGCCTTCCTCTGTTAGAAATGCTTTGAGCTGCCAAGGGCAGTCTCTTCATTTAATTGGATTTGCTTCGTTTGTAAATTTGCCAAGACAATTGGCACGTAGACAGACGATGGGAGAACCAGGCTTTTGACAAATTGCTTCGAGATTAAGGTGTTCAGACTGACACCAACAATATCAATAAGTGTGAGAAAACATGCATCCTTCCCACAGGCCTCTCTCTCCCTGCCAAGAGATTTCTCCAGCTCCTTTTGCAAGTTCCACTGGGGGGCCGACAAAGTTTAAAGTGAGGCTCGACTCTGCAACACAAGAGCTTCAAACCTTCACTTGCAGAGTTGTTTTTCTAATTTAAAACAGATAAGAGATGTCATATTTGTGGATATAAATATGATTCTAAAGCAAAATGTGATTTCTGTGTGTGTTGCTGCATTTTTATTATCCCAAGAGGTACCTGGCTGCTCAGTGCTTTTTTTTTTCTTAATATCGTTACTTTCTATAACTGCCTTTTTTTTTTTTTTTTTTTTTTCGGAGACAGAGTCTCGGTTTGTTGCCCAGGCTGGAGTGGAGTGGCACAATCTCGGCTCACTGCTACTTCCACCTTCTGGGTTCAAGCAGTTCTCTTACCTCAGCCTCCTGAGTAGCTGGGACTACAGGTGCATGCCACCACACCTGGTGAATTTTTTGTATTTTTAGCAGAGATGGGGTTTCACCATGTTAACCAGGATGGTCTCAGTCTCCTGACCTCATGATCTGCCCGCCTGAGCCTCCCAAAATGCTGGGATTACAGGCGTGTGCCACCGCGCCCAGCCTTTTTTTTCTTTTTTTTTTTTTTTTTGGCTGGCTGTTCCTGGGGCAGCTAAAGTCTTATTTATTCTAAAGGATTTGGTCAAATTAAAGGACACCATGGGCTTTTTGGGACATCCTGTCCAAACCTTTTTTATTCCCTGAGAAAGATTTTACCCCTCGTGAGCCAACCCTGTTTGTGGTTCCAGACCCAGATATTCAGGAATTGCAAAGGCATAATTCAAGTTTCTCTCCAGAACTTGTTCCTACTCTAAAGGCCTGAGGTCCAGGGAGCTGGGTTTTCAGAGACTGATATTTAATCACAGCCCTTTCCTCATCTAAGGATTCGAATGAGTTGAGAACTATGTCACAGGATTCAGAGAGATGGAACTGAAAACCTCAGCTTTGCCCCGGGATAAAGCTGAGTTAGAGAGTTCTGCTTGTATCTGCTGCCCACTTTTCTTCTTTTTTTTTTTTTTTTAAAGGAAAAGAAAGAATAAAAAGAATGAAAGAAAGAGGAAGAGAAAGAGGGAAAGAGAACAAGAGTCTTGCTTTATTGCCCAGGCTAGAATGCAGTCTAAAAATGAGTGTTAAAAACCTCTTTTATGCCAATAATTGTGCTTAACAAGAGACAGGAAGGAATAAGGGAGGAAAATAACAAAAAAGCAGCCAACCAATATTTAATTTAAACCTGTGAAATGCTATGCAATTACTGAGGAGTGATTTACTTCCAATTATAGAGTCACTATTAGAGTAGATGTGTTGTGGTGCTGAGAAGAATGTATATTCTGTGGATTTGGGGTGGAGAGTTCTGTAAATGTTTATTAAGCTTACTTGGTCCAGGTCTGAGTTCAGGTCCTGGATATCCTTGTTAATTTTCTGTCTCATTGATCTGTCTAATATTGACAATGTGATGTTAAAGTCTCCCACTATTATTGTGTGGGAGTCTAAGTCTCTTTGTAAGTCTTTAAGAACTTGCCTTGTGCTCCTGTATTGGGTGCGTATATATTTAGGATCGTTAGCTCTTCTTGTTGCATTGATCCTTTTACCGTTATGTAATGTCCTTCTTTGCCTCTTTTGATCTTTGTTGCTTTAAAGTCTATTTTATCAGAGGCAAGAATTGCAACTCCTGCTTTTTATTTATTATTTTTGCTCTCCGTTTGGTTGGTACATCTTCCTCCATCCCTCTGGTTTGAGTCTTTGTGTATCATTGCATGTGAGATGGGTCTGGATGCAGCACACCGATGGGTTTTGGCTTTTTATCCAATTTGCCTGTCTGTGTCTTTTGATTGGGGCATTTAGTCTATTTAAATTTAGGTTTAATATTAATATATGTGAGTTTAATACTGCTATTTAATGCCAGCTGGCTGTTGTGCCCATTAGTTGATGTAGATTCTTCATTATGTTGATGCTCTTTACCTTTTGGTATATTTTTGGAATGGCTGATACTGGTTGTTCCTTTCTATGTGTAGTGCTTCTTTCAGAAGCTCTTGTAAAGCAGGCCTGGTGGTGATGAAATCTCTGAGTACTTGCTTGTTCACAAAAGATTTTATTTTTCCTTTACTTATGAAGCTTAGTTTGGCTGGATCTGCTGCCCACTTAATTGAGCACCCAACTCTGTCACAGGCATATCTGGCACTGGCTGGTCTCCCACACAGGAGGCCACACAGTTTTTTTTAACTTTTTATATTGAAATAAATATTCATAGGAATTTGCAAAGAAGTATACAG